GGGAGGGAGGCAGAGGAGCCGCTCCCGCAGCCCACACCCCCAGGCCCAGCCCTTGCTCCCACCCTTGTGTACCTGGGCCGATCCATTTCTCTGAGCGCGCAGGGGGCAGAGTGGCAGGAGGACGGCGGCGGGTCAGGCCAGTTTCTCCCGGAGAGCTGGAAGCGTGCGCTTCATCCACGTCGATTCGTCTGTTACAGCTCCCAGAACGCGGCACGGTGCGCTTGGAACACCGACCGGGAGCGGAAGCGGGAAGGGGAGGAGCGTGCACCCCTCCCAGCCTTGGTGCGCGCCGCGCCCCCTACCCTCCTGGTACTTCGCGAGGGACTCGCGCGCCCGGCGCGCCCAGACTGCCGTGATGGCGCTGGTGGCCCGCGGGTTGTCCTGGGGGCTGGGCTCCCACCAGGCCGCCCCGGGCCCTGGCGCGGTCGTCTTCGTGTGGCTCTTTCTCAGCACCTGGTGCACAGGTACGGGGTGCAGGTCCCCTGGTGCTGCGGGACGGCGGGTGGGCGCTTGTAAGGTGAATGGAGGGAGTTGGAGGCGGGAGAGCGGGGTGGGGTGGGGGTGGGACTCAGAGACTAGACCTCCAGCTCCTCTGGGACTGGGGTGTCCCGTGCGTCCTGGAGTCAGAGGAATTCCCATCCGTGGCTGGGAGCGCTTCCCCCACCCTTGTCCGAAGATAGCAGGAAGTGGAACTGCCCCGACCGTGCGCCCTGGAGTGGCGGGGAGAATGAGACCCTTTGTGGACAGGGCGGAAGGACCAACAGATCACTGAGAAAGGCTGGGATGGGGACTTGGGCGCACCCGGCGATTTCTAAGTGTTGGGGTAACGGAGAGAGGCACGCGAAGGCCAGATCAGTCGCTTCCTTGAGCGAGAGATCAAGAAACTGTGCCCGGGCCACAGGTGGGTGGGGGGCAGGGGACTCGCCACCCGTCCCGGGGTTCCTCAGTGTCTGTGCTAGGAGTCCAGTCGGATGGACCTCTGGACCTGAAACCACCAGCCTTCTCCCAGTATCGGATGTTCCTGTGGGTGGGGTGAGGGGCACTTTGGGGCCTTATTTAAGGTGGCTTTGGTTAGGGCAAGGGAGTGGGAGGTTGATGAAGCCATTCTGGAGGCCTTAGCTATTCCATGGCAGATCAGATCCGTTTCGGAACTCCAAAAACATACCCCCACATTCAGACACCTGGAACTAGAAATCTTTGGGGGTTCGTTTTGCAGTGAGGCCTTGGGCTCGGGTGGGCTTTGCCGTGGCCCATGCCTTGTCCACACAGCGGAGCGATAGATCGAACAGAGACAGAAGATTCATTCCGTTCCCTGGAGAGCCCTCATACATTCCTGAAGGGAGTCAAATAGGCAGGAACGGAAGTGAGCCGAGAGAATACTTCCTGGCCTTAGGACAAGGTGAAGGACCTTGGGTGATGGTGACAACCCAAAGAATCACAGAGTATGGTGTCAGGAGAGTTAGTTACGAAGCCACCGCCTGGGAAGAGGGACAGACAGCCGGAATCTGGGTGTGTGAGCTTGTACCTTCTGCTTCAGCCCCGCAGCTCCATAAAACGGCATGGTTATCATAGCCACCTCGCCGGGCTGGGGATTAAGGAACAATGCGTGCAGGTGCTTGGTGACACCTTGCATGCGTAGGAGTGAGGCTGGTGGCAAGTGGTGTGGCTCATTCCTGGGGAGGCACTTCCCCGGTCTGGGCTCACTCTCCTCTTGCCCTCAGGTCCTGCCAGTGCCGTCCAGGTCACCGTGTCGGACCCCTTCCACGTGGTGATCCTTTTCCAGCCCGTGACCCTGCCCTGCACCTACCAGGTGACCACCACCCCCTCAGCACCCATTGTCGTCTGGAAGTACAAGTCTTTCTGCCGGGACCGTGTCGCTGATGCCTTCTCTCCAGCGAGTGTAGACAACCAGCTCAACGCCCAGATGGCAGCTGGCAACCCAGGCTACAACCCCTACGTGGAGTGCCAGGACAGCGTGCGCACTGTCAGGGTTGTGGCCACCAAGCAGGGCAACGCGGTGACCCTGGGGGATTACTACCAGGGCCGCAGAATCACCATCACAGGAAGTAAGTGGGGCGAGGCCGGGCGGGGCAGGGCAGCCACCAGGGGGCTGAGGCAGGGCTTTGTGTGTGGCAGGGGTGGCTGAGGTCCCTGTGCCCAACCAAAGTCCTCACCAGGAAGCTCCCCAGGAGCAATGAAAGGAATGTTTCCTTCCCTCCACCACCCTCTTTTTATTGAACAGCAAGGATGTTTGGAACACCTGACGTGTATCAGGTGCTGTTCAGGCCCTGGGAACCCAGCTGTAAACAAAACCAAACTGTCTTCCTCGGGGGGCAGCAAGAGAGACATGCACAGTGCTTAAAGATGAAACGGGGTGAAGGAGCGGGACAGGGACTCGTCCTGTAATAATACCAGCAGTAGAAAGTGACGTCTGTGTTGGGGAACCAGCAGTTGGGGTAATGGCTATGTCGCTGGACTCCCACGTAGTTGACCGTGGTTCGCGTCCTGGACCTGGTGGCTTAAAACTCACGCCAAGCGCGTGTGCGTGCGTGCCCGAGATCCCGAGAGGAGAATGGAGGAGAAGGGATTGCGGCGTGACCATCCCCCCTGGGGGGTGATTTCTCGCTTTCTGTCTCT